CCAGAGGAACATTAAAAACATATAACTAAATAAACAAAATGTAACTAAAATTACACCAATCAGCACCCACAAAAACACTAGCATTTTCTCTCTATAGCTTCCAAGATACCAAAAATGTTTTATTTTTTTTTTATTTCAACAAAGTGTTTGAATTATAGATCTTTAATTTTTCTTTCTTTTTTTTTTTTTTTTATTCTTAATCTTTAACTTTATAAGGTCACTTTTGTTTGACCTTATCCCCTAGTGGTTAAAAGATAAACTGATCTTCAACAATTAAAAGATGAACTAAAGCTGGGCTGAGTGGCTCAGCCTGTAATTCCGCGCTTAGGGAGGCTGAGGTGAGTGGATTGCCTGAGCCCGTGGGTTCGAGACCCGCATGGGCAACTTGGCGAGGCCTCATCTCTACAATAAATCAAAAAATCAGCCGGGCGTGGTAGCATGTGCCTGTAATTCCAGTTACTCGGAAGGCTGAGGTGGAAGGATCACCGGAGCCCAGCAGGTCGAGGCTGCGGTGGCCAGGAGCGGCCACTGCACTCCAGTCTGGGCAATAGAGTGAGACTCCAAATCAAAAAAAAAAAAATTCTAGTACATTGTATAGAAAGGTCTGAGGAGAAAGGCACCTAAATCTGTAAACTTTCAATAATTTATCAGAATTTTTTTTCTGGTAGTAAGTATTCATTCTTGTCCTCAATTTTGTGTCTGTAGTTTTTAAAATTATTTTTCCTAAAGGGGGCCTGATTTATGTACAATCTCTGTGGGGGGATTGATCTTGATGTCTCACCAAAGTTGGAAACTACTTGGGAACTGGGATTGTGTTTTATAATTTCTCTATCTCCCATGCTCTTGGAGTAGAACTGAGCTCAGAGAGAAAAATCAAACAAATTCCATCCCTCAGCCCCTGTGTAAATCAAAACCGACGGAGGGCTGTAAAGCTTTTTAGGAAAATGACTTGTCCCTTAATGATACTTCACTAAAAGAAACTAGGGTATTATTCCAAGCTTACTGCTTTAAAACCCAAGGAAGTTCTTATAACTGTCCATATATGCATTATAATATTCATTTTGAAAGATCATATATTTTTATTTCATTTAAAATTTTGAAGGTATGGCTTATCTGATTCCACGTGCTTTTATTTTTAATGAAATGCAAACCCACAAGTTAATTATAGACAATTATAGAAAAATATAAGAAAGATCAATTTTTTGCAAAAGAGAAAGTCAGAAAATTTTGATTAGGATCTAATTTATACTTAGCTTTTTAAAATGGGGGGCATATTGATTTGTATTTCTTGCTTTGTATAATTTTTCTGACATGTAATGAATCTCTATAAAGCAAATCTTTCCAAGTACACAAGGTTTTTTTTTGTTTGCTTGCTTGTTTTGCTTGTTTTCGAATTAAATTAATCTTTAGTTAATAAAAAAAATTGTACTGATCTCTAATTCTCATATTGGGGCAAGAAGAAAAAAATTAATCACTATTTAAGTGGAAAATTCTGGCCAGGCTCAATATTAGTGCAGATACATAATCTCCTTTATTTTTTTCACAAACATATTCTCAAATAAAATGCAGTATAAAATATCCTAAACTTAATTTTTCAGATCTAAAGAATTTTTTTTTTTTTGAGTTGGAGTTTCACTCCGTCACCCAGACTGGAGTGCAGTGGCCGCTCCCGGCCACCGCAGCCTCGACCCACTGGGCTCTGGCGATCCTTCCGCCTCAGCTTTCCGAGTAGCTGGAACTACAGGCGTGCGCTACCACACCCAGTTGATTTTTGATTTATTGTAGAGATGAGGTCTCGCCAAGTTGCCCAGGCAGGTCTCGAACCCACGGGCTCAGGCAATCCACTCACCTCAGCCTCCCAAAGGCGTGGGATTACAGGCTGAGCCACCGAGCCTGGCTCATTTGATGAAATTCTGATGAAACAAAAATACAACAACAAATACAAGGAAACAGATCAATTACTTCTTAAAATTAAGGGCCTGAAGTTTTTCCCAGAAGGATTCACCTCATCCCCATAGGTTTTCTGCTCAGATTCAGCTCTTCAGCCCAAACACACTGTGCTCCTAGAGGCAGCCACGTGTGCTGTTTTTCTGCGTGGACGATCCTCCTTTGGCCCACTCCCTCTCTGTTTATGTGCTCCAACTATTTATGAGCACCCTCTGCTTCTGAGCTTTGAGTACCCAGCTCAAATGTTGTTCAGGGGAGAATCATTCTTCCACAACTCACCTCCTTGCCTAGGAGTATAGTTAGTTTCTCCATGTTGCTACAGTGTGTTTACCAGCACCTCCCTATTAGTGCACTCATCACACTGTACTGTAATTCTTTATTAATAGTCTTGTCTCCCCTTGCAGAACATATCTTATTTATCTGGGTCACACAGAGCATGGCTAATCCCCTACCAATACTAACAGACTTTGAAGTGTTTGAATAAGAGTTAAACCTAACATTTAATAAATGTTTACTATATGTTAATCAATCCCTACCAAGTCCTTAGTAACCTATGTTTCATTGTAGCCACTGTTTATTTCAGTTGAAGACTCTGGAACTGAGTTTATGCAAATTGCTCAAGGCTACACAGCCAGTTGGTGGCGGGGCTGGGGGACCTAGGCCTACTTCCTGACCTAGGTCCTTTCTTTGCGCTCAGCCCACACTGAGCCTGCTCTTCTCTGCTCCCTCAACTGCTGGACTCCCTGACCTGGTATGGTAATGTCTTCCAATCTGGTCTCCTTGGTCTATAGCCCAGAGTGCAACACTCTGGGGGCAGAGAACTGGCCCACACAGAGCAGTTAGCTCTGAGATGATTCTGGAGGCTGAGGCAGCCATATCTAGGCTCCTGTCTTAGCTCTTCTACTTTCTGGCTCTATACCCTTGCCCAAACCACCTAACCTCTCTGCGCCTCAGTTTTTTTCATCAGAATTTTATTGTCCCATGAGTTGCTGTGGAAATGGAGGGGATTGTGTCTGTGTGAGACATCAGCACTATGTCTGGCACACATTAAGTGTCCTCACTGGCATTTCTCATCTTGTTGGTACATTGTGCCATTAGAAAGTGCTCCCGGGCTGGGCTCGGTGGCGCAGCCTGTAATCCCGCATTTTGGGAGGCTGAGGTGAGTGGATTGCCTGAGCCGGCGGGTTCGAGACCTGCCTGGGCAACTTGGCGAGACCTCATCTCTACAATAAATCAAAAATTAGCCGGGCGTGGTAGCGCGCATCTGTAGTTCCAGCTACTTGGAAGGCTGAGGCGGAAGGATCGCCAGAGCCCAGCAAGTTGAGGCTGCAGTGGCCGGGAGTGGCTACTGCACTCCAGACTGGGCGACAGAGTGAGACTCCAACTCAAAAAAAAATGAAAAAAGCAAGTGCTCCCAAGTCTCCATCCTGGTCCTGCAGCTAAGCCGTGCCTTCCTACCGTCCACCTGTACAGACAACCTTTATATACAAGTACAGGGTTTTATCATTTTTTCCCATTGCTCTCCTTTGTGTTAGATTTGGGCTGTTTCTACCTTCTGGATCCAATTCTGTCTCCTACATACTTACTATTCTCCATGTGCCCGTGTTATCTAAACTGTTGAAGAGAACAGAGTCTGTAAAATGGGTGTCTTCAGGTATGAGTGTGAGTACAGAGGAGGAGATGGGCTCAGAGCACCCAGCACATTGCTTGGCACAAAGCAGGTGCACTGTTCACGTTTCCCTATCTTCTCTTACTCGCCCTTACGGGAGACAGCACCCTTGTATGTTATCAGTGGCAGTGTATATGACCTTGCTGGAGGACAATCTAACAAGATGTACAAATATGCACAAAAAGTGTTGACTCTATAATTCTACTGGGAATTTACTCCAAGGAAGTCATTAAAGAAAAAAAAATTCTATGTACAAGATACAGTATTTATAGCATCATTATTTAAAAATGTTGAAAAACTTTAAATAATCTAAATGCCCTACAAAGGAAATGGTTAAATAAACTATTACAGAGTAATAATAGCAATGTTGCTCTTAAAAGATTAAACATCTTTATGTTAGTGAATATAAAGTTATTTAAATTAGTTACCATAGATATATTCATTATGACTGCAGCTAAATAAAAACTATATATATATTGATAAAAACAGAATGAGAAGATGAAGAAATAGAAAATTATAGTTATAATGAGATGACAGATGTAATTTTTAGTTATTTTCCATTAAGACTTGTTATAATTTATTTGGTCATAAACATCCCAAATATTTGTTTATATACAGATGCATATTTTATGTGTTTATGATTTATGTGTACATATATAATCTGGAAGGAAAGCAAACACGAATCAGCAAGGAGCAGTTCAGAAGCCAGAATCTAAGCTAATACAGGATTTTAGTTAAGTCAAGAGGCTGGGCATGGTGGCTCATACCTGTAATCCCAGCACTTTCAGAGACCAAGGTGGGAGAACTGCTTGAGCCCATAAGTTTGAGACCAGCCTGGGCTCAAGCTGATATCGAGACCTCATCTCTATAAGATCATATATATAATATCTTTTAAAAATTTAAGTCAAGAAGGATTTGTCTAAATATGAGATCCAGTTGCTAACGTTCCAAGCTCCCTTTCCACTGAAATTCACATGCCTTATCATACCCTTACCTGCTGCCAGTCACAAGAGTCCTGAGGAATGAGTGTCAGGATGGCACAGTGGTGAAGGGTATAAGCTCTGCTACCTGATCTATCTGGCTCTCAGCCCTGTTCTGACACTTACCAGTCAGGGGACCAGCAGCAAGACCTTCCCCTGTGAGCTTCAGTTTCTGCCTCTAAGAGATGGGGTGGTTATGGTAGCCATCTCAAAGGCTGCTATGAAGCATAGCATCATAAATGCCCAGTACAAGTTGGTTGCTATTATAACTGTGTGCCCCACCATCTCTTGGAGATGGGCATAGATTTTAAACTTAAAAAAAATAAGGAAGAAGTAGAAGTAGCAGTGTACTTGCAGTGAGAACATCAAAAGGAGGACTCCACTTAGCCATGCCCCATGCTTACCATAGGTGAACATGCGTGGCGAGGTCAGTTCAATGTTGGGCAGGGCGCCCAGATGGTTCAGCACAGCACACCGATAGCCATTTTTCTGGGCATAGTCAACAAAGGTGCGGATGTACTGCTTCTCGCTGTGATTGGCAATTCCAGGGCAGATGACCATGGTAACATCATCTACAGGGAGGAGAGAGAGAGATCCAGATGTAACCAATAAATGTGACATGATAAATGGACACAATTACACTTCACTGGCTTAGAAAACAGGAGGAGGAAATTTAACATACATCGTTTCATTCACTTCACTGGGAAAGATATCTTTCCCTTCTAACTGGGGAATATCTTTCCCTTCTGTCAGTGCCTCTCAGACTATTTATAGTGAAGGGTTGGTCATGGACAGATATTTTTAAAAAATACAATAAAAATTAATTCCTAGAAAAATGAAATGAAAAACATATAAACCTCAATTTTTTATTATTAGATTCAACAGATATAAAATTGTTCTGTCAAATCACTACAGAAGTTCCTGAACTTTATGCTTAATTTCTGTATGAAATTCTGTACAAATGCATGAATGAATAAAGGAAAAAATAAAAAGTAGTGTTTGCACAGACCTCTTTGACCCAGCAATATTACTTTCAGGATTTATCCTACAGATATAATTGTGCATATGTAAAATTATATAAATGTGATATTACATATATATTTTTTGTACATATTGTGTGTATATATTACATATATATTATTTTGCACATGATTGAACATAACCTAAACATCTAGGTTTAGGGTATAGGGATGAAATATTATGAAGCCCTAACAAATAATGAGACATCTTTATATACACTGACATGGCAAGGTCTCCTATATACTAAGTGAAAAAAAGCTAGGAACAGAAAAGGGTTATGATATTGAGGTTATTAAATCTGATAATGCTATTGTTTGTGTGGAGGACAAAAAGTTCTATATTTATAAATGCATCCATTATCTTTGGAAACATACATAAGAAAGTTAACAGTGGATGCCACTGGAGAGGGGTAAGGATGGGAAACAGGTGGGAGAGAGACTTATACTTTCTTTGTTTATCCTGAGTCCCTTTTGAATTTTCTATCATGAGTATGAATTACCTATTGAAAAGGTGAATACGTTTTTCTTTGAAAGAAAAGTGATATTAGGTTATTAAATCTGACCATAATTTTTCTTAAAATCAAGACAAAAAAACCACTTTAAAATTCTTACTGCAGCTGGGTGTGGTGGCTCACACCTGTAATCTCAGCACTTTGGGATTACAAAAAGATTGCCTAAGCCCACAGGTTTGAGACCAGCCTGAGCAATATAGCGAGACCTCGTCTCTACAATAAATCAAAAAATTAGCCAGGCATGGTGGTGTATGCCTGTAGTTTCAGCTACTTGGAAGGCTGAGGCAGAAGGATCGATTGAGCCCAGTAGGTCGAGGCTGTAGTGGCCGTGAGCATGACACTGCACTCCAGCCTGAGTGACAGAGTGAGACTCCGACTCAAAAAAAAAAAAAAATTCTTAATGCTGGTAGTGAAATGTGAATTAGTAAGCAATTTTGCAATATGCATAAAGAACTTTAAAAATTTCATAAATTGCTGGGCACAATGGCATGTGCCTATATCCCAGCTACTTAGGAGGATGAGGTAGGAAGATCACTTGAGCCCAGGAGCTTGAAGCTGTAGTGTGCTGTGATCATGCCTATGAATAGCCACTGTACTCTAGCTTGGGCAACTTTAGCAAGACCTTGTTCCTGAAAATAAAATAATAAAAGAATTATAAACTTTGACTTAGTAATTCCAATTCTTGAAATCTTGTCTAAAATTTTATGAATAAGGACGCTCGTTATAGAATTATTTATTACAAAATTATAAATAATCTAAATGCCAAACAATAGAAGAATAGTTAAATTAGTCTATGACTACATCATAGAATATTAAGCAATCATTAAAATTATGTTTTTAAAGACTTTTAGACTTTTATGACATGAGAAAATCTTTATAAAGTATAATTTATTATTTTCTTTTTTGAAATGTTTCTGAATCATCACATTTTCTAAAATATGAACTTAATCCTTTTTAAAGTAGAAAAAAAATCATAAAAGGTAAAAAAGGACATAGTTCTTTTTTTTTTTGAGTTGGAGTCTCATTCTGTTGCCCAGACTGGAGTGTAGTGGCCACTCCCAACCACCGCAGCCTCGACCCGCTGGGCTCCGGCGATCCTTCTGCCTCGGCCTTCCAAGTAGCCGGAATTACAGGCGCGCGCTACCACGCCCGGCTGATTTTTTGATTTATTGTAGAGATGAGGTCTCGCTGTCCAGGCGGGTCTCGAACCCGCAGGCTCAGGCAATCCACTCACCTCAGCCTCCCAAAGGCGCGGGATTACAGGCTGAGCCACTGAGCCCAGCTAGGACATAGTTCTTAAGGAGCCCGTCTTAGGTACAAATACTGCCATTCCCTGAACCTCCTTCATCAAATCTTTCTAGGACAGGGGTGACAAAAAGATATGAACAATAAAGAATCAGAGTGCTGCACTTTTCAATTTCCCATCTCCATCCTGAGAGGAAGAGCAGATGGTCTGTGCTTTGTGATGGAAGAATCAAAAGCATTAAAAATAAGAGAAAGAAAATACTTAGATGAGTATGGTTGAGAAATAAATATTTAAAAGACCAGGTCAGATTTATAAACACAATGCGAAACCTTAACCAACTCATTTATTCATTTCTTCCATGACTGTTTATTGGAAGTCTGCTATTCTGGACTCTGGAGATTCTTACACTCTAGCAGATAGATAATAAACAACCACACAAATAAGTTTAGAGTAGCAGGTATCACGCAGAACTAAAGAAAGAAGGTGCTGTGGATTTATTAGGAAGGAAACTCCAGTTAGAAGAGTCAGGGACGGTCCCTTTGGGGAGGCGATATCTGAGCTAAGACCTGAATGATAAGGAGGCAACCATGTGAAGGTCTGGGATCAGCATTCCAGGCAGAGAGAATATAAACTAAACTTTGTCATCAGCTACTCAACAGTTCCAGTCACTTTAAATACCTAAAAGCTATGTTTACTGGAATTTACCCATAAATAATTACTGCACTCTTATAAAAAACTAGGTGCCTTTGACTATAATAAAACACAAAACATGTTCTCTTCTGGTAGGAACGTCATTCGAAAGGACGTGGGCATGTAACTTCACTTCCTCAAAAGTCTTCATTATTTGAGGTGTATAATGAGTGCTTATTGTGTAGGCTGGACAAAAACATGCCAAATTTCAGCAGCAATGGGAACTGGAGTTGTTCTCAGAAACAGGTGTCCCAGACCCTCCTTGCATGATAAATATGACCTTAAGGTATCTTTTTGTCCAGGGAAACCTTAACAGAGGGAACCTGAGAGCCTTTGCTATCTGCTGCTTCCCAGCAAATAACAGCAGCCTATACTGCATCTCCAAGTTTCAGCTTCCTTATTAGTGAAGTGGGGAAGATAAAGCACTGACCTCACAGGGTTGTCATGAGAATTAAAGGGGATAATAGTATATATGAAGCACTTCGAACAGTCTGGCCTCTGTTGCTGTCTCCAACTCAGAGGACTGGTGCTGGGAGGCCTGGGCTCCAAGTTCTCCCTCATCACCTTACACCAAGCTTCTGTATTTCACAAGAGGATTAGAAACTATTTCATGATGCTTTCAAAAAAGGTTTACTCAATGCCTGGCAAGCACACGTTGGAGCTAACCCTTGAGGGTTGCTCCTCAGGGATGACTCTCAGCAGACTTCCCCATAGCCCTCTGACACAACGGGCAGAGTCAATGGCCTGAGCATTTATACCGTGCTCTCCATTGACAAGTGCTCCTTCTCTGAGTGGTGGTCCAATCATACAACCTAAACCTGCTCACCTCCAACACAATGCTCTGCCAAGGGCTCAAAGAGGTCAAATGTAGAAGTGGCTCCGTCGGACATGGTGATGAACTTCCGGTGCCCATAAGGGTGTGGCGACCTCACCCTTCCCATCTTCCCATACAAGGCCGTCTGGATGTGTCCACTTTTCCCCCAGATCAACGGTGGAATGTATCTAATGAAAAAGGAAAGGCAAGGTCAATCTTCTCCACGTTCCTTGAGCAATGCTCTGAAAAATCTTTAAGCAAAAGTCGTTCAAACCACAGTATTTAAGTTTTTTCCTGGCAAGTTTGGTACACAGAGCATAAACATGAGTTTTTTTATTACTTTACATCCAGGCCATGATTTACCCCCTTTTCCCCGTTTATTAATATATCCTGGATCAGATTAGGTTGAGAAATCCATCAAGACATGCTTCCAGAGAGAGGATTTCAATTTAAGGTGTTAAGTAATTCAACATGGATGTTATTTCCATAATATGGAATGAAAAGAAAGCAAGTGATACATTTTGAACATATTCTGCCTTGACAGGTTAACTCGTTATCAAATGAACTAATGTATAGGAAATAGCACAGTACCCACACTCACTAAATGCTCACTTCTTTCCCCTCCCCGAACAAGACAGGCCACAGCTGCAGCAGTTACTCCACTAACCAAACCTACTGCTCTCAGTTACACTGGGAAGGGGTACAAACTCTTCTAAGAGGCTGTAAGTGCCTTGGTGGGAGGGGGACATGGGGTGGCGGGGGGTGGGGGGGCGGCATACTTTAGAGAACGTTCTAGAAGGGCAGAGCAGTGTAAATATTTGTTGGATTAATAAAGGATAAAGGTTTGTTACCTCAAGCAAGGCATGAGGCCTCCCTAACAACTGTCCTTTGTAAAAGCAGAGTGACTTTGGGCCCCAGTAGGAAATGCAAATATCACAAACTAGTTAGTTACCAGGAAGAGAAGGTATTCCGAGTTACAATTAAGAAATGTTATGGTTTACAACCACAGTACAAGATGATCCCATTTATTGAAACCGCTATTGGCTTCTCGTCCATGGCTTCTAGCCCAAGCTTCAAGGTTAGCCAGAATTTGTTTCCTATATAAACTGGAGTCACATAATTTGAAACAGTAATGCCATCAATCCATCCCCTCTGTATTGTATCACAGTAGTGAGTATTTTATTAACAATTTAACTTAAGCTTTTTGCCAATTCATTTCTCTCTGAACCAGATGAGTCTCCCAAACCCTTCTTTGATTTACTCCTCATATGCGTGTGTAATTAAATCTACAAAAAGTTAAGACAAGCAAATCTATCACATTAAGCAAGCCAGTTCCCAGACAAGCTTCCTCTTTGGGGGTGGGGAGGAGAGGGAAGAGTATTTTAAGAGCTTAAAAACATGAAGCCACTTGCCAGCATAACACCGCAGGTGCAAATATCAGGGCAGAAGCCATGGCATTTGGAAAGCAGACAAGGGCATTTTATAAGAGCTGAGTGGATTATGACAGTAACAAAAAGCAAGCTTATAAAAATAATGTCAATTGGACAACTGAATACTATACAAGATTTAGGTATAGGATTTAAAAAAAGGTTTCAGACTTCTAAGTTAGACAATAAATTTTGAGTAGAGGAAGAGAACAATCCAAGAATCAAACTCCTGATTACTCCTGGAGGAAAGTTTAAAGAAAAAATTTGTTTATAATATAAATTGAAAATAAAAATATGCTGAAGTTAAAACTGTCAGAAAAATGGGTACATTTCATATGCCTATCTTCTGATCATGTTTAGAATACAATATAATCCCAGAAAATATGACAAAAGAATAAATTTTCCTTTTGGCTATTCACAGATTTTGCATATAAGGGTGACATATGTGATCATCCTGACGCCATGCTCCTGGCTCAACGTCAGGTCACCTCCTCTGAATCTAGCCCCCACCTATTCCAAACTGCCAATGGAGGAATAATCTCAACACACAAGTCTGGACATGGCCCTCTACTACATGGGTCCTAGCTTGGTCTACGAATCCAACCATATCCTGGTGTTTGCTTAATTTTCTGCCTAAGCTCCAATAAACTTAAATCATCAGCTCCAACTCCACCCTGAACAGGCACACATTGTGCTGAATTATTTTTATCTGAGGTGCCTTTGCTCAAGCTGTTTCCTATGCCTGGAATGTTCTCCTTCACACCCTATGTTTCTTCTGGCCAGCTATTACTTGTCTTTCGGGACTCACTTCTAATTATATTGCAGGGGGAGTTGCCCCTTCTGGGTGTGCAGCTCTGCCCTAGCACCCAGGTGGTTTGGTTAATTTAGAAGCTCTTTTCAAGCACACCCCTCCTGTCACTCATTTGAATACCTTTGGGTCCATACTCAGAGCACTTGACGCATGTTATACACCTAGGGAGACTTACTGAAATGAACAAATACACACCCACTTAGTAAATCTAAAAAGATAAATATGTTTTAAAAATATATATATAAATATACTTTAAATAACATGTACCATAATAACATGAATTCAGCTATAACATGGTTGGAATTTGGCTCTTGTCCACTTTCCAGCCTACCTAACCCATTCTCAGAGTAGGGTGGGATAAATGTCTCAAAGGGTGTGTGTGTGTGTGTGTGTGTGTGTGTGTGTGTGTGTGTGTGTGTGTGAGGAACAAGTGACTCAGAATCACTCAGGACTTTTTCAGTTCAATGTGAGGTCAATTATGTACAGTGGAAGTCTTACAGTCTTTAATTTTGTGACATTACCATTTACTGAGAAAACATTATTTTTAATTAGCTTCATGATAACACAACACCAGGGTTTACAAAATTGAATTTTTGGACTGTGCTGACTATGAAGGGGTTCTACTGTATGTTCTTGTTTGCTTGCATAACATGTCCACAGACCTATAAGAAAAAAATTCAAAAGCAAAAAACAGAATAGGTGCCCAGTCACACAGCCTAGGTCAGGGAGTTTCCTGGATCAAAATAATAGGATATTTTGAAATGTATGTAAACATAGGAACACTGAAAGAGATTCTGCTAAAATGGTATATGGAGGAATATACTCTATTCTAACTCTGTGGTAGTTTACTGAAAATATAGCTGCCAATAATTCTACATATTCCAGTCTTCTATCGGAGCTAGATGCCCTCCCTGTGAATCCGGGTTGGCCTGTGACTTGTTTGGGCTGATAGAATGTGGTGGAAGGATAGCTGTGCAGATCTTGGCCTGGTCCTTAAGAGATCTGCCAGCTTTTGCATGGAGAAGGAGAAATGGAACTAAGTGTTATGTGCATTTTAGATTGTATGCATACTGCTAAAATGCCTTCCAGAAAAGATGGGTCCATACACACACACACACACACACACACACACACACACACACACATATTTTGAGTCGGAGTCTCACTCTGTTGCATAGACTGGAGTGCAGTAGCACAACTCATGGCCACCACAGCCTGCTGGGTACAGGTCATCCCTCTGCCTCAGCCTTCCAAGTAGCTGGAACTACAGGCACATGCCACAATGCTCAGCTAGTTTTTCTGATTTATTGTAGAGACAAGGTCTCGCCAAGTTGCCCAGGCTGGTCTCGAACCCCTGGGTTCAGGCAACCCTCTTGCCTCCACCTCCCAAAGACCTGGGATTACATGCGTGAGCCACTGTGCTGGCAGGGTGTGTTTAGATTTCCACCAATGATGTATGAAAATATCTGTCTTCTTCAACCTCATCAATAATTGGCATTATCAACCTTTTTGTATACTGGCTACTTTGATGGGCAAAAATGGGTATCTTGTTTCAACTTGTGTTTCTTAAGGTTGATCCAATCAGTGGTTTAAAAAAAGGTTCTTGTTTGTAGTCAATGCCCATCAGGAAAACTCTCTTCCAGATTTGGAAAGTGACTGGCATTGACAAGCAGATATCCTTGAGTGCTCCTTCAAGATGGCCACCTGAGTCCCAGACATGAGTAGACATGGCGGTACTACTGTTATGCAGAGACCCCTTTCAGGCACATTATGCCAGTAGGAACTGATCTGTCACCAGCAGGAGAGACAGAGACTGCTGATGGCTATGGGGCAAATTCCCTGATGGGAAGGTCTGGAATATAGCTGGCATGTGAGACCGATACTGGTAGCCCTGGGAGGCTACAAATGGGTCTTGGCAGGAATAGACACTAACTTTAAAGTGGAAGATGAAAATCCTCACAATGGCATTAAAAAAGGAAAAATATAACAGAGAAGCTATTTCATGGATTTAGATGACCAATCATTCCTTCTGATCAAGAAACACTGGTCTGGATAATGTCCAACAATGGGCAGAGAGATGTCCTCCTTAGAGTAACAGTTTGATAGAGAAATAGAACAGGCAATTGAAACATTGATTGTCTAAAACAGGGAGATGAAACATGAAGAGCTGGATCATATGCTTTCAGGAGTGTGTGCTCATGCTCACCGTGCGTGGGACCAAAGGAGTGTTCCCACTAGATTTTTTTTTTCTGTTTTATTTATTTCTGGTTGATCAGGGAAGAGGGAGTGGGGAGGATGCTGGTATTACTATGTAATTCTTGCTAAGGGAAGAGTACACTGGTATAACAACTATAATTTTTTTCCCTGCTCAGATCACTTCAAAAAAATATTTTTGTTGGTTTTCTTTCCCCTATCTGATCCAGTGGTCCTAAGACCAGGACTGCAACTACAAGTTCTAGAAGCAAGGATGATTTCTAAGCAAGAAACTGTAAGTACGCTTTAAACCTTATGTCAGAATTTCTAAGTGCCTGATGGTAGTGGGCTGTGCCTTCATTCCATCTGGCAAAATTGGGACTAAGAGTAAATGCAGCTATATTGCCTGGCGGTAAAAATAGCTCACTAGTTTGGTACCTTTATAACTTATCATATCTGAATGGGAGTGGACAGAGGAGGAGGTACTTGCTGGACTAGTGTGCTACCAACAATCTAAACCAACACAGTGGTGATTCTTCAAGTTCCTTTCAAGGGTGGAAAAGTTTGGGTATTAATGAAGAAAAGGAAAAATAATAGCTGAGGGCAAAGGAATGGATAAGTGGGTTGGGGGAAATTCAATATTACATTCACACCTTGAAAGAGGCTCAGAGCAAGAGATGACATTGTCTCTTAGCTTAATTAGTCCAGATGCCTAAAAGGATGAACCTATGTGCTTGCCAAGACCACTTCTGCTTTT